ATATAAATAATCAATAATACTTGCATCTCTTTTACAAAAAGTAAAACAAAAAAGCAATAAAATTTGAATATCAAAATTTTGATTTACAAATAACACATCTGATTTACCATATATGTGTACTACGTAGAGCCACTTCACTTAGCCGTCATTGGACATTTAACTTGGTGTGTCTGAGGCTCAGTGAAGGATCTTACACAAAAATCGCTCATTAATGAAAACAAAATTCAGTTCTCTACTCTACTCATAATATTTGAAACCCTGTTTTTGACTGAACTATATTTTTATACAATGACGAATACTTTTAGTATTTTGAAACATAGTAACATTTATTAGAGGAACCTTAAATATTGCCCGCTACCAAATTGTGGTCTGCAAGAAACACGTGGAAATTCTCAGATCCTTTGTATAACGTTTAACCTTTTTAAAATTGATGTGCATTAGATCGCAGGCGTTGTCACACTCAAAATGTATTACTGATACTAGGAGTTATATCGTATTTCTGAGATAAGGCTCATAAATCACAATAAACACAACAAATCGACTTACCAGCTCCTACTTTCACTTTAGCCGAAGGCCGATGATATATATACACGACCGTCGTGCGCATAGTAAAGAAAGTCTATTTACACGATCGTCGTGCAAATAGCTATTGCAAATTGCTGAGATATATACACGACCGTCGTGCACATATGTATGAAAAAAACTATTTACACGACCGTCGTGCAAATAGCAATCACACATTGCCAGTGATATGCACACGACGGTAATAGCAATTAGTTGGCTATTACATATGTGTCGTGTACTCGAAGCCACGACGTTGTTCGCACGATCACTTAGAATTATAATTTGACCCAATATGAACATTCATGTCAATTTTTTTTATTTTTGACATTAAATACTCTTATTAGATAAATGTTTGCATTTATGAAGGGACATATTACTTTAATTTGTTTTGTTTTTTTACACACATTAAATTAGGAATTAGTAAAAAAATAAAAACTAATCGATAATTTAATTAATCCGATTCCGATCAGATTTTGTTTGAGCTGATAGACTTACGTGTAGATGAGCCTGTCTCTGGCTTTATGTGACACGTACGTTTAATATTTTTTTCATTGACAGTTTTTTTAATCATAGTAATTATTACATGTATGTTGCTATTTAATTACCTCAACTTAATTTCAATTTCTAATTCAAATAAAAAAAATCATAAAACATATGAGGGATTGACATCTGTGTAAGATCTACACTCCAACTTCAGATGAAAAAAGCTGTCTTAGGCACTCTCCTATCTGAATTGTAAAATACATAAGCTTAGAAACAGGACTAGGACATAAATATCATATTGCATTAGTCTGAATGGACTGGAACATGATCGTGTCCCCTGTATGGTACTCTCTCATTTCTTTAAAATCTTTCTATTTCTAATTTTTTCCCACTTGAAGGCTACTTCATAGTACGTATTTCTATTTGAAGCTGAATTAAATATTATGACCCCACAGCCCTTTCTTTTCACAACCCTCTCTTTTTACAGTACAGCTTCTTTTGTGGATAATTGATTATTTTACATACCTGTATAAAATATGTGGACACATGAGGATAGGTATATTATGAGGTATTTAAGTGTGCCCAAAGGAATGCAAGAATGCAATCGAATCGTAATATAATTTCTATCAGTTTCATAAAAATGTAGATGAAGCAATTTATTAGCCATAAAAAAAAACAAATCTTTAAAAAAAAAATGAAGATTAGAGACCTAAAAAAAAAAAATCGGAAAGGGGGATGATCACTCAACATCCGCTCTAAAGAGAAGATGTGCGGATCACCAGGGTTAGACACTAACTTTCACACTTGGCTAGCGAAGAAAGGAAAGGGGGAGGGGGTAAAAAGTTACATTACCCTCCTATATAGCCTTTTTGCCCTCAACCCACACAGTGTACTCACACATGTTGTATTCTGGATCTGCCACTGCATATTTCGACCCAATATTGATGACCAAATTAATTACAGAAAATTATAAAAATTGAATGTGTGCAGGGAAGCAAAGAGCCATAGCTGTCTTACCGACGACAGGGCCGATTCAAGACTTTAAAAAGAAATGACCCTAAGCTTTTCTTTTTCAATTCAAGATCAACCAATGTAATATCATTTACGGACTAGTATTATATTTTCATAGTTGCAAGTATGTCATATAACAATCATTTTACATGTTCATTACTCTAATTGGGTCAAAAGATTTAGAAAATTAATAAAAATAAAACAAGTAACTATGCAAAATTTAATAAAATAGTTTAGAGCTGTCTTTTCCCGTGATACTTTCAAAGTGTAACGTGTATATTAATTATGACTTTCTGAAATTATGTTTATTTTAAAACATAGTAAAGAAAATGTAGAAAAAATATACAAAGAAAAAAAATAAATAAAAGAGCACAACTGGAAAAAGCACTTGGATTCACCACATTTACATTTCAGCAATCATATCACTGCGCCACGAAGTCATAGATATTGAATACATAAATTTAAGAAAGGTTGCCAAATCTTAAAATAATACGAGATGAAAAATTGAGTATATATAAATTTCCACCATTTTCGACATGAATTAAGACCACCTTTAACCAAAATAAAGTGTCGTAATACACAAAATTATTCAAATGTTGTTTTTCTGGTTAAGGGTGGTCTTTGTCAACAGTTTGTCATCGTTTAGGTAGATACACTGTACAAGTACCTCAATATTTACTATATACTCCATACAAACTTGAGGATTTTTATAATTATTATATAGGGGAACTATAAACGTATAATATACACCTATTTACTGGCTATGAGGACAATAGCAAGTTAATCGTTCCCCAAGACAGCAACTATTTCCCGAGGCGCAGCCGAGGGAAATAGTTGCTGTCGAGGGGGACGATAAACTTGCTATTGTCCGAATAGTCAGTAAATAGGTGTTTTATTATACCGAAGCAGGGTAAAACCACAAGCCTACCAAAATAGTTAGTAAATATTCTGTTATAGTGAAATGTGAATATATACAAATACGAGGCTAGTTCTAAGAGAAATAGATTTACATTAATTACAACGGCCGGTGCCCATTGGACCTATATGTCACTTTAGCATATATATTAACATATTTTCATTTTTCAACAGAGAGCTAGGGCATATGAAATAAACTAGATTTTTACAAATATTTTTGTCTTACTGAAAAGATTAAAGATTTTGACAGGTTGTCTTTGATTATTTTTCATTAAAGTGTTTAAATTATCAACTAGATCTACATATCTATTTAAATTAACATTATGAAAGAAAGTTTTTCTGCTGTTTTCTTACGAAAATGCTTTTAGGCTTAAACCAGTGCGTGCCGAACTTAACTGGGGACGAAACAACGAATGAAATAAAAACATAATGGTCGTGCGAATAGGTCAGCTATATAATACACAATACAATACACGACGGTCGTGCAAATAGTCACTGAAAATTATATACACGACGGTCGTGCAAATAGTCATTGAAAAATTATATACACGACGGTCGTGCGAATAGCCGATGAAAAAGTAAGTACACGACGGTCGTGCATATAGACACTGCCTTAGCCGAATATCGCATGACAGACCTCAGAAATAAACTACGCTGAGTGATTATAGTTCTTAATTTTCGTGCAATATTTTTCAATATTATATGACATTGTCCTACATTTGTAGGATTAATATGCTTATTTGATAAAAGGTAATTAACAGCCTTACCTGCAAAAGAAATAACAGACGTTAAATTCAGTCGGAACTGCTAAAACTGGGCGCGTATTAATTTATCTGTCCATTGTAAAATCGAAGACGGAGCATTCCCTGATATGACGTAAACATCGATGTTACTTTTATAATAAACAATATTAAACATTTAGATCGAAACATTCTAATAGCTGGAGATGTTTAACGAAATATCTCTCTAATTGCTTTGTGTAATCGAGGTACTAGAGACATCAGATTACAGAAATAGTCAGTTGGTTTCAATACCGGAATGGCAGCCCCCCCGATTTCGCATGGCGGACATGCCTAGTTGATGAAAAACAGACAGTTATGGAAAAAGTACGCGCAGTATTGCTAGGAACGAAACAAATGGTTGTACCCATGACGTTCAACTATCTGCACATATACAACAAATGTCATGTTATTGTTTTGTTAGACCTGTAGCTGTGCAGTCCTGCAAGTGTAATATGCACATTATTGCTGCATGACACTGCAAGTGACAATCAAACTGCATACATATCAAGACAGCTTTCCAATGGAAGGTGTCATAGGTCAGTTTTCAAGAGTAAGCAAGAAGTATTTATTAAAATATTGAGATTTTTTATTTCGTACGAGTTTCACTTGGATGAACACAAAACCAAACCCTTAAGGTGATGATTTGTTTATAGGGCTGTCACGGTTCCAAAATTTTTTGGGTTTGGTCGGTTCTGTAAATTTTTGGTTCGGTTTCGGGTTTTTCGGGTCGGGTATTTACATCTATTTTAAACCTTAATTTCATGAATTTAACTTGAAAAATCTTTACTTGTTACATTAAATTTACATTTAAAACAAGTCTTAACCATGCGAACGTCTAGACACTGGTGACTTGGCCTACTATAGAGCCACAACCTGACCATTCCTGCTCGTTTTGATAATTATCTAATACTTCCGTGACAAGTGTTTTGTCATGGAATGAAGTAGATTTCAGTTGTGATGTTTATTTATCACTGTTATCGTCATCATTCCTTTGATTTCGACTCCCTGAACAGACTCTAATATATAAACCAGACCCGAACCGAAATCCGGAAAAATGGAACCGGAACCGAACCGAACAACTTGGACCGCGGTTCTCAGTTATTTCGGGTACTCGTGACAGCCCTATTTGTTTATTTATCATAATGATTAATACAGCTATGGTTGACATTCATCTATCTAAATATTATAAATTTCCAATATTCCTTTATAGCATTTTTGTAAATGAGGAATAAAATTTTCTTGCAGATATTTCAAGCATTAGCAAAGGGGTTTGAGGTTGTGAAATCCATCAAAGGCTTATTGTCAGACGTGGTAAGTCTCAAGTACTGTTATACAAATGCATGTGTGTTCTTCTAATGAAGTAAAAAAAAAATTGTCATATACATCTAGGTTCATTCTTAATCTGTATACCAAATACTGGGATGCACATTATACATTTTCAGTCATTATTTTATGTGAGACTAGAAGGGAATGCTAAAATTACTATTCTGTTTCAGACCTATGGAAGTCGACCAACGTCCACTGAAATCGACCAGTGTGGGGAGAACTGTCCAATTTGTCAGGATGACTATAAAGATCCAATCAAACTGGCTTGTAAAGTGAGACTCCATTTACTTTTGATCTGCTTTGTGTACAAATATACAGTAAAAGTAATATACATTTGTACATTGTATATGTGTACTTCTAGAGTATAATATACTGGAAAGGTACTTTTTCCGCGTGGTATTGATTTACGATATGTATGTGGTCACAAATTTTCTGCGGACATGTATCCCTGTGTACTTAAAGTTATATGCATGTAAGGCATATGGTGGTAATCTAAAAAATCTGCATAATTTTCTTCTCAAGGATGAAACAGAAATTGTGATTCCACGGAATTATAACCCCTTGGAAAAATGTATGTTTACAGCATAATGATCGTACCATAGTTACACAGTTACATGTACAATTGCATGGGAGGTGTGTGCTTAAGAGAGTGTCTTATTCAATTTGAATTAAGAATAACTTTCTGTAGACTAAGAGCATTTCTTTTCTGTTTGAATTAATCAATGATTACTGCATGAAAAAAACATTAAAATGGTACATGTACATGTATTTCAGATTTAAAAAAAAAAATTAGACTCAACAGGAAGGATGAACATAATTTACTTTTTAACATTTTCTCAAAGAAAGCTTTATTGTCTCTGATTAAGCAGGCAAGTTTTCTTTGTAGAAATTTCTTACATGTACCTTATATTTCTTTTTATTTCAGCATATATTCTGTGAAAATTGTGTATCCATGTGGTTTGATAGAGAAAAGACATGTCCCATGTGTAGGGCACAGATCCACACAGAATCCCCAATGTGGAAAGATGGATCTACCAGTATCCACATACAGTGGTACTAATCCACTTCTCCACATCTGATGGGACAGGCTCACCTCCTGTTAGGACTGGAATCCTCAGAAGGGATAGGAATAGTTTTATCATAACTGTACAAGGGATGTTTTTCTTTTCAGTTGTTGCTTAATTTGGAGTTTTATCTAAAATATCAATCTGCTTGTTTTATGGTAGCTTTAGAAAGATACATTTATGACAGAAGTTTTAATCATAAATCTTAAACTAATTTTAGTTTATTGAAATCTATATTTTTGATGCCAAATTTTCCCAATTTACCTAAGCACTCAATATTACATTACAGGTATTTTCAATGTACACAGTATTTTTTCAGTGTAAAAAATAAGTTTTGTTAGACCATTGTATGCTTTGATTATTCACTTGCAAATATTATACTGAATTTTTCCTTAAGTAAGTTCATGTTTTGATAAATTAAAACTGTAATGTAATTGAGCAATAAAAGTGGTGAAAATTTCAATGTGTTCTCCTGGTATTTTAATGAGATCATAGGTACTGTATGTTCATGTCATGTGTGTGCCATGCCCTTTGATAAATTTTGTTTTATTATTGAGAGGCTATTAAGTTGTGCAGTATACAGAGGTTTCTGATAATCACAGATAAAGTTGATGTTCACACACAGTTGTATACATACTTGTAGCAATTCAGCCCCCTCCCCCCCCCCCCCCCCCCCCCTTAATAATTGCCAATTCATGGTGTAAAAATCAAGAATATTATGAGTTAAAGATGAAAAATTCAATCTTGAATATTAGAATATCATGACTTTATCTTTTTTTTATCTCAATCACTCAAGATATGAGAAAGATCTCTTTTTTCATGGACATAATGTCAAGGTCATTTAGACAGACCAAAGACATTTAAGTAAGCCTAAAAAACAAAAACAAAAAAATCTGTTTATTTGATTTTTTTTTTTTTAATTTTTTGGTCACTAGTATTGTACATAAATCTGTTTTTGTAAACAGAGCACATGCTCTGTTATTGTTACTGTTTACGTTTTACTGGGTGTGTTTAATTTGTTAACTCTGTTTAACTCTGCACACGTCACTGAGCACGGACTGACGATACTGGTGAGAAAGTTTCGCTTTCTCACATTTCTAGTCTGAATTTTCTGGATTATAGTTTAAATATTTTTCATTAATACACAACAAAATTTCTCTTTTTCTTAAGTATTAAGGATAAAGTTTACTTTGTGAAAGTGGATATTATTTAATCAAATGTGTCCTGAAAGTCGTAGTTTTAATCATTTCCAGATAAAAGAAGTTTCTGGACACGCTTTTATTATATTTCTGTGTGAAATATGCTAGCAAGAAAATTAATAAGTCATGATATTATATAGAAAATATTAACCTCAAATCTGTGTCCAGGCCCCTTTAAAAAGATATAACCAGTATATGAACAATTCTGTAAGATTTCAGTTTATCATTAAGTTGGTTCCTTACATAAGTTGTCAGTTCCTTTGTTGTAGATAAGCATGATAAGCAACACTTTCATTTTATTGCATGCAGTTTTTCATTTTATTAGGTCACCTGAGTCACTCAGGTGACCTATTGCTATCCGTTCTCGTCCGTCGGCGTGCGTCGTGCGGTGTGCGTCGTGTGTTAACATTTGAACATTTTTAGCTTCTTCTCTGAAACCGCTTAACCAATTTCAACCAAATTTGGCATATAGCACCTATGGGTGAAGGGGAACAAAAATTGTGAATTCCATGGTCCCTGCCCCCCTGGGGCCTGAGGGGTGGGGCTAAAACCACCAAAAATAATGCAATCTTTAAAAATCTTCTTCTTTACTCCTGGACATCAAGCAGTCTAACTGTTGGCATCATTGTAATAAGCATTGAGTCCTCTACCAAAATTGTGAAATTCATGGCCCCAGGGTCAGGGGTTCTGGTGCTAGGGTGGGGCTATATAGATCATATAGGGAAAGTGCATTATTTCTTTGAAAATCTTCTTCTCTGCTCCTGGGTATTAAATAAAGTAACTAAGTACATAGTTATGAAGAACAAGAGTGCCTCTTTCAAAATTATGAAATTCATGGCCCCAGGATCAGGGGTTCTGGTGTTAGGGCGGGGCTCTATTGATTATATAGAGAAAATGCATTAATTCTTTGAAAATCTTCTTCTCTGCTCCTGGGTATTAAATAAATTTACTAAGTATATAGTTATGATGAGCAAGAGTGCCTCTTTCAAAATTGTGAATTTCATGGCAGCTGGGTCAGGGGTTCTGGTGTTAGGGCAGGGCTCTATTGAGTATATAGTGAAAATGTATTAATTCTTTGAAAATCTTCTTCTCTGCTCCTGGGTATTAAATAAAGTAACTTAGTACATATTTATGATGAGCAAGAGTGCCTCTTCCAAAATTTTGAATTTCATGGCCCCAGGGTCAGGGGTTCTGGTGTTAGGGCGGGTCTCTATTGATTATATACATTAGTTAAAATGCATTAATTCTTTGAAAATCTTCTTATCTGCTCCTGGGTATTAAATGAACTAATTTAGTACATAGTTATGATGAGCAAGAGTGCCTCTTCCAAAATTGTGAATTTCATGGCCCCAGGGTCAGGGGTTCTGGTTTTAGGGCGGGTCTCTATTGATTATATTGTTAAAATGCATTAATTCTTTGAAAATCTTCTTATCTGCTCCTGGTTATTAAATGAACTAATTTAGTACTTAGTTATGATGAGCAAGAGTGCCTCTTCCAAAATTGTGAATTTCATGGCCCCAGGGTCAGGGGTTCTGGTGTTAGGGCGGGACTCTATTGATTATATAGTGAAGATGCATTAATTCTTTGAAAATCTTCTTATCTGCTCCTGGATATTAAATGAACTAAGTTAGTACATATTTATGATGAGCAAGAGTGCCTCTTCTGAAATTATGAATTTCATGGCCCCAGGGTCAGGGATTCTGGTGTTAGGGTGGGGCTCTATTGATTATATAGTGAAAAGGCATTAATTCTTTGAAAATCTTCTTCTCTGCTCCTGGGTATTAGATAAACTAACTTAGTATATAGTTATGATGAGCTAGAGTGCCTCTTTCAAAATTTTGAATTTCATGGCCCCAGGATCAGGGGTTCTGGTGTTAGGGCAGGGCTCTATTGATTATATAGTAGAATTGCAATAATTTTCTCTGCTCCTGGGTATTAAGTACATAGTTATGAAGAACAAGAGTGCCTCTTTCAAAATTGTGAATTTCATGGCCCCAGGGTCAGAGGTTCTGGTGTTAGGGTGGGGCTCTATTGATTATATAGTTAAAATGCATTAATTCTTTGAAAATCTTCTCTGCTCCTGGGCATTAAATAAAGTAACTTAGTACATAGTTATGATGAGCAAGAGTGCCTCTTCCAAAATTTTGAATTTCATGGCCCTTGGGTCAGGGGTTCTGGTGTTAGGGCAGCGCTCTATTGATTATATAGTAGAATTGCATTAATTCTTTGAAAATCTTCTTCTCTGCTCCTGGGTATTAAATAAACTAACTAAGAACATAGTTATGGTGAGCATGACTGCCTTTTCAGAAATTGTTTCATGGCCCTTGGGTCAGGGGTTCTGGTGTTAGGGATGGGCTCCATTGATTATATAGTAAAATTGCATTAATTCTTTGAAAATCTTCTCTGCTCCTGGATATTAAATAAACTAAGTACATAGTTATGATGAGCATGGCTGCCTCAGAAATTATGAATTTAATGGCCTCTGGGTAAGGGGTTCTGGTGTTAGGGCGGGGCTTTATTGATTAGATAGGGAATTGGCATGAATTCTTTCAAAATCTTGTGTGCGCCTGGGTATTTTTCAAACAAAGGAAGTGCATGGTTATGATAAGGAAGAATGCCTCATGGCCTTTGGGTCAGGGGTTCTGGTGAGGGGGAAAGAGCTCTATTGATTATATATAGTGAAAATGCATAATTTCTTTCAAAATATTTTTTCTACTACTGGTTATAAAGTAAAGAAACAAGTGTATAGTTATAATGAGAAAGGGTGCTTCTTCCAGAATTGTGAGTTCATGGCCAATGGGTCAGATGTTCTGGGTAAGGATGGGGCTTTATTTATTTAATTTTATGGTGAAAATGCATTTCTTTGAAAATCTTCTATGCTTCTGGGGATGTTCAAGGCAAACAGAGTAAAAGTTTTAATATGCAAGGGTATTTTTACCAGATTTTTGAACACCTGGACCATTTAGTCAAATGTTCTAGTCCTGGCCAGGGCTCTATTAACTTGTATTCTGCTGAGCAAAGTTATTCCCCTTTGCCATTCACCTTTGATAATTAATCAATGTAAATAATGTATTTGAAAGCTTAATAGAATAAGAGAATTATGCAAGATAATTTATTGTATAATGAAAATGTACTTTCATAGATTTAATGACTTGGAAAGTCAGATAGGCAGGACTAAGATACTAGACCAATTATTTTGTTGATGCTAATCATACTATTTTTCTTGCTTTTGGGCAACAAAGCTTCATTTTTCAGTTTATGGATCCTCTAAATTGTTGTATTGTACTCAGGTGACCGTTTAGGCCCTTGGGCCTCTTGTTTTCATTATGTTTCCTAACTGATGGATAATAACTCATTTTATTAAAGATGTTTTATTTAAAATTACATTTAAGTTTGAATTTATATGTATTGTACTTCAAAAAGCAATTTGGGCTGCATATAATTTTCAGCTGAAAGCTCAAGTGAGCTTTTCTGAACACCTGATTTCCGTCATCCATCTAAATTTTTCACAAAGCATCCTTGGGTGAAGGGGAGTTTAAATTGTTAAAATGAAGGGCCAACCCCATTATAAGGGGATATACTCAAGAAAAGACAAAAATAAGGTGGGGTCATGAAAACTTCTTCTCAAGAACCACTGGGCCAGAAAAGTTGAAATTATGTTGAAGCTTCCTGCAGTAGTGTAGATTCTAAATTATTCAAATCATGGTCCGGGGGAAGGGGGGGGGTTAGGATGGGACCACAATGGGGAATCAAAAGTTTCAAAAAGAAGGTTTGAAAAAAGTTTTTTTTAATTGAAATATTAAAAATCTTTAAGAATCTGGAAGCATCCCCAGGTAGTGTAGATTCAAGTCTGTTCAAATCATGACCCCCCCCCCCCCCCCCTTTCCCAGGGTATGGTGGCAGACATCTTAAAAATTCAGTTTTCAAGAACAGCAAAGTCATGATTAATCATATGAATATGGAAGCATCCTGAGGTAGTTTAGATTGAATTTCGTTCAAAACATGATACCTGGGGGTGAGGTGCAGCTAGAACGGGCGATCAAAGCTTTACATATGAATAAATCTGCTAATGAAGAACAGCAGGGCTATACTGACTCAGGTGAGCATTGTGGCCCATAGGCCTCTTGTTTTATTTTTTTCGTTTCAAGAACAATTTTAATTTAGTTTTCAAATTTTTACCGATATGCTGACCCCCCTCCCCGTAAGTTCATATTATCCTACTTTAATTAAGTACTGTAAAAAATAATTGCAAAGAGAAATTTTAGAAACTACCAACCTGCCCCATCCCATTAAATAGGATTAACAAATTCAAAAGTTTGAATATTTTAACAGATAATTGTAATTAAAGCTATATACGGCGTATCTGATCTAAAAAATAAAAATACGAGATTGGGTGTATATGAACACGATATTTGTTATTTACGTACAAATTAAAATTTTCACCGATTTTGAACTTGAATAACCCCACGTTTCTATAGTTAAATTGACTTTAAACTGTCTCTGATATTTAAATGCGGAGTCGGTAAATAAATCGGTTATTGTTTTAAATTTCTAATATCTATGAAACGCTATTGATTTAAATTGTGTAATTTACAGGAAAGTCCTATCTTTATATAAAGTAATAAAACAAATAGAAAGATCGTTTTAATTTTTCTTAGTCTGACTTTTATATAAAAAATACGCCATATATGACTTTAAAATGTATATATTCTGCAATGTAAGAACCTGTTATTTGTTAAAAATGTACCTTATACGTGTACTACCTTATCTTAAGGTTAATGTCATTTGATTTTTTTTAGTTTCAATAAAAGCATCGGGATTGCTAATCAAGTGCAAATAGATCGGGTTTGAAATTCTGTATTGTCTGTAAACAATATGGACAGCAAGAGAGAGTTCCTCGATTTACCAAATGAAGTAATTGATCTTGTGCTTCAGAACAGGGGTATATCATTTACAGACATATGTAGTATATCCCAAACATGCACAAAAATGCAATATTTGTGCTTGTCAAACGAATTATGGAGAAGAAAGCTCCAGCAAAGGTAAGCAAAAGTTATGCAATATACTGACAGCTGGGTCCGCCGTCATAAACCATACTTAAGTCTGATAATGTTCTCAGGTCTGAGAATATTCCCAAATCTTAAATTGTCAGGAACAGCTAAATGGGAAAAAAGTGCATGAAAAATGTTAACAGTTCCTTTGTTGCAAATTTTTTTGTAATAGTTCATTACTGCGTAAAATTGTAAAATACTTCATAACTTTTTTTCTGTAAGCATGTCATCAAATGGTAGACAGACATCTCGGCCCAACGACAGCTCGGCCCGTCACGCTTGACATCTCGGCCCTGACATGTCGGCCCAGTATTGTTGACACGTCGGCCCATATAAAAGACACCTCGGCCCAAGCAAAATTTTATGATGGAAGAAAATTAACAGCATTTGAATTGGTATTATTGGTGTAATTATTTTTTTTGATGATTAAACGATTGTTTTAAAATTAAAAAATAGGGGTCTTAATCTTGTTTTTTTTAAATAGAAATATTCTATTGTTTATATAGATCGATCTATATGACTTCATTGTATATATGTTTTTCTTTTCTTTTTTTTCGTTTTTTTCATTTTTTTTTTAAAACACACGTACATACTTGCTTTGCATGATACAAGGAGCTTGAAAAAAAAAAGAAAGAAAAAACGGACTCGAACTAGGTATAAGCGACGATAATAAATTCATGAATGGAAGTGTTTTTCTTATAAGAAATAAATGAGAAAATATTCAATATATGTAAATGTCTTTAATTACTATCTCCCAATTAACTCTGCTCGTAATTAACCCCCTGTTGTCACCAATACCAAAGGATGCGCCGCGGCATATTACTTGTTTATCATTTAGCACTTTAATTAATAGCATTGGCTTCTCATTCATTGAATATCGTCAAAGTGCCCATGGAAGTTCTTTTGAAAAAAAAAATCTTGATAGTTTATTCATGTACTTTTTTCAATAAATATTTAATTCAAGTCCCAAAATTAGAAATATATATTTCATGGTAAAATTTTGCTTGGGCCGAGGTGTCTTATGAATGGGCCGACCTATCTTCAATCTGAGCCGAGGTGTCATTGGGCCGAAATGTCAATGGGCCGAGGTGTCGTTGGGCCGAGGTGTCTGACATTCCATCAAATTGTATGTTTATAGGTGGCCAAAGCTTTTGCTGAGGTATTCACGAGAGAAAGCACATGACTGGCTGAAGGAGTTTAAAACTTATGCCGTGGTGGGCCGTGCTGTGCGAGGACTTGTTAGCCAGCTATCCCCAAGATTTTATAAATTGGAAGAAATTCCAGATGATGGTTTTTCAGATGTTGTGTCCCTGATGGAGGAGCATAATGCAGCTGAAGTTATCATAAATGAGTTAAATGAAATCATACATGATGATGACAGGTACAAAGAATAAACATAATGTATATAGCTATTGCAAATGGGCAAAAATGTTTGATACAAAAACAAGCTTAGACTTATCAATTTATATTCAAAAGAATCAAGGTGCATGAATTTCCTACAGCATAAGATATTTTATGCTTGTTTGAATTAGCTTCATCATAATGATAACATTTGTTTAAGTGTCATGTAGGTCTTCATAGGTTGTACATGTTGTGGAAGTCATTCAAGTGATTTTGCTTACTTAAGTGATTTTAAACAATTTCACAGGGATGTGCAATTATAAAAATTAGTTACTAGCCCATCGGGCTAGTGGCAGTAACAAAGTTACCAGTTGCCAGTCACTAGCCCATTAACTACTGAAAACCATACATGTATAAGTATAACAAAAAGGTAAAAAAAAACATTTAAGTTGAAATAAATAAAACAAATAATGGTTTGCGCTTTGTTATTGTCAGGTACTTCTCCCTGTTTTTATCACTATAATTGTCACTGAAATGACTGGCGATAGCAACACACAAAACATATAGGTTAAAAAGAATTAAAGATTATGATTTTACAACAAAGTTAATTCGTACATCAATTCAGTCCACATAAATATACGTATACTTTCGTTTTAGATTTACTAGCCTGATGGGCTAACGCAGTATAGATTTATGATAGCCCGACCTCTAAAATTGGTAGCCCCGGGCGTCGGGCCATGGTAATTGCACACCCCTGAATTTCATGTACATGTATACAGCTCTGTTGTTCTAAAATTTTAAACACCTATAGAGCTATGTTATTCTACAATTTTAAACATATATACAGCTCTGTTATTCAAACAATTTTAAATAGGTATAAGAATTTGACAAACAAGTACTATGCAGTGAAGCTTCTACGACACATTTTTCACTTGCATCTTACTGAGAAATGGAAAGCTCATTTACAACAGCCACCAGATGAGCAAAAACTTGAGATAGGTAATGAAGATTGGTAGAGTATTTTTTGAATTAACGGTATATTTTTACAGTCATGTATTTATACTTCAGATGTACATGTATAGATAAATGTACTTAAAGGATTGTAATAAATATTTCAGGTGCTACCATAATTAGTCAGTGGTTCCAACCTACAGACGATGTGACAGAAAATTCCATAATTGACCGCTTGGATGATATTGCAGAGAGAGTGAAGCAAAATCTACCAGAAAATTTAGCATCATTGTATTCTGAAGGTGACTTTTAT